CAAAGCTGCTTCTTATATATGGGAAGCAGACCACATACCCAAAGCAGCTACTCAGCTGCTTGTGGTAGATCCCACCATGGAGTTGATTTCCAGTCTCATCGTGGGGAATAACTACCAGCTGCTGTTCAGCCACTCAACCAGGCCCAGCCAAGTTGACATACAACTTTGACTACCATACATGTATATACATATATATGTATATATACATATACATGTATGTGTGTGTGTGCTTACATATATATATTTGTTTCTCTAGAGAACCGAGCCTAAGAAGCATGCTGTGCTAAATGTTTTTACATGCTGTAAAAAAAAAAAAAAAATTAGCATAGAACATTTAATAAAATACTTCATGACAGAGGGTGCAGTTGGCAAACAAGCATAGAATGTGCACATTATTTGAGCAAAATTATTGTACCTCAAAAAATTGGCCATTGTTGAACACCATCTAGAGCACAGTTCTACTCTCACACACCATGAGTTGGGAGTTATTTGTTGACAACTGGTTTTTGTTGTCTGGTAGACACTTGTAGGTGCTAGGTACTGGATGAACAGTAGTAAACAAAACATATAAAAATCCCTGCTCTTTGTGGAGAAACATATGTCTCATCAATAAAAATGTTCTAGATGAATAAATAGTTCCTTGATTATGAATATATGTTTCTGCTTTTAGCACTACTTTATCACACATGAACTGTCTAAAGTATTGTACATAGCTTGGAAAATACAAGTACATGTGAAGAAACTTGTTTCTTTACATAGCAAATTAGGCTCTGTTTTATAATAATAATTTCTACAAATTTGTTTGGTGACATTGGTTACATTTTCACAGTGTATCAATTTTCTCATCATGTCCATTCTGGTTGTTGCATTTCCAGTAATATAATTTCCCTCCCCTCTTCCTTGTCTTCTTGTCTTTGCTTTTGATAATATATTGACCATTTGTTCTCATATATATGATTTTTCAAAGGAGCACAATACTCACAGATGATATTGTTTATTTTACGAGCCAATCTTATTTAGCTGAAAGATGACCTCATGTAATAGCTTTGGTTCAGGGTTTAAGAAGTATGTCACGGTGATAGTCTCAAGGAGTCCTGCAGTCTCCAAACTATGAATTCTTAAGATTAAATTAAACTCTGGTCAAAAAGTAATGCATTTAGGCTTAATCTGGCCACAATTTGGGGGTTTTATGGATTGAAAGGGCAGGATACATGCTGGGAGAAAAAAAAAATGCATTAAGAGCTGTGTATAAATTTTGACTCCCAATAGGAACTTGAGGTACTTCTTTATTTTGCCACATGGAAAATGTCTGCTTCAGTAACTTTTTGAAATCTATGACATAAGTAGATTTCTCCTTTAGATGCGAATTTAAAAAAAAAAAGTATTCCATACTTAATCTTGCTCTCAATATCCTTTTTTCTTTTACAGATCTGTGGACATATTAGAACTGACAGAGCAGGAAGAATTGCTGAAGTTCCACTATCACACTCTCCGCCTCTACTCAGCAGTCTGTGCTCTGGGGAACCACAGGGTGGCTCACGCCCTGTGCAGCCATGTGGATGAGCCTCAGCTCCTCTATGCTATTGAGAACAAGTATATGCCAGGCTTGCTACGCACTGGCTACTATGATCTGCTGATCGATATCCACCTTAGCTCCTATGCCACTGCCAGGCTTATGATGAACAATGAATTCATCGTTCCCATGACAGAAGAGACCAAGAGTATTACCCTCTTCCCTGATGAGAACAAAAAGCATGGGCTCCCTGGGATAGGTCTCAGTACTTCCCTCAGGCCACGAATGCAATTTTCTTCCCCCAGTTTTGTGAGCATTAATAATGAATGCTACCAGTATAGTCCAGGGTTTCCCCTAGATATCCTAAAGGCCAAAACCATCCAGATGCTGACAGAAGCAGTGAAAGAGAGCAATCTTCATGCCCGGGACCCAGTTGGGGGAACCACTGAATTTCTCTTTGTACCCCTCATCAAGCTTTTCTATACTCTGCTCATCATGGGCATCTTCCACAATGAGGACTTGAAGCATATTCTGCAGTTGATTGAGCCCAGCGTGTTTAAGGAAGCGGGCACGCCAGAAGAGGAGAGTATAGTGTTGGAAAAGGAGCTCGGCATGGAAGAGTCAAAGCTGGAAGGAGCTGGTGATGAAGAAGCCAAAGGGGGTAAGAGGCCAAAGGAAGGTCTACTCCAAATGAAACTGCCAGAGCCAGTTAAATTGCAGGTAATCCGGAAAAAGATATTACTGAATTTCAGAATCACTAGGTACTAAGTTATGAAATATTGACTTTGACTCTTTCTGTGTGTGTGTGTTTGTGTTCCTATATAATGGTAGTTCTTCATAAAAATAATTTCCTATTGTTCTTTGAGAAATTCCAGTCTGATTTGCTTGCATTTAGAATAGAATTAATGAATTTTTAAATTGCATCAGTTGACAATAGATGAAAAATGCTAAATTTAGTATTTGTGTCATATTATTTTTCTTGGTCAAATATATTTGTCAAAGAAATCCACGTGTGTAGCAGGTGTCTGTTTGTTTATGAGTCTCTGTGTGCATGTGTGTGTGCCTGAAAAGAGCAGAGGAGGTGGGCTTTTGTCCCATCAGGTGTTGTTCTATCTCATATTCATTAGCAGTTTCCTTGTATCTTTCTGCAGATATATTTCACTTATAATATCAATTATTTTGGAATGTGTGAAGAAGGCATGCTGTTGTAATGTTGTTATTTACCATTGAGTTGATTCCAATTCATGGTATCCCCATGTGTTACAGAGTAGAACTGCTTCATAGGGTCTTCTTGGCTATAATCCTATAATCTTATTGGAAGCAGATCAGCAGGCCTTCCTTCCATGGCACCACTGCACGGGTTTGAAGCACCAATCTTTTAGTTAGCAGTTGAGTGTAAACTGTTTGCACCATCCATTAAATAACAATTTTCTAACCCGACCTCCACTCCCACCAAACTGTGGTTAGAATACTCATACAGCAATATGCATGCCCATTCTCAAATAACAATTTTACTTCCTGCAAGTATGTTTCTAAGACATCAAAGATAAATTAGAGGTCTTGTTGTAACATCTTTTTCATTCACTGGAGACAATTTGATAATTGCACCATTGACATGATTTTAACTCTTCATTCCTTCAGTCCACAGTGGTTGAGGCCTTATTCTGTGCCAGGCCATTGATGCTGGGTGAAGGAAACAGAAGAGGCTTATAGTTTCTGGGAGAAATATATACTTATTTCTGTATTTTACTTAATATATCTTATTGATAATGACATTAAATGCTCTGAAGAAAAAAAAATGAATGGATTACTCGAAGAAGAAAATTTAAAATTAGATCACCCTGAGAAAGGTCAGGGAAGACTCCTCTGAATTGGTGAATTTTGAGGTGAAATTGGATGGATTCATGAGTTGGAGTTCAGTAGGTCAAGTGGAGAGAAGGGAAGTTCCCAGAGCTTTTCTCATAGACAGATATCATGGCAAATGGTACTGAGGCAGGAGAAGTTCAGTGTGGTTGCAGATTAATGAGCTAGAGAGTGAGGGAGAGAGAATACTGGTGAGTTAAGCAAGGGTAGTTCTGAAACCAGCCAGGTGGTGGGTTTTCAATTTGATTCTAAGTGCAACTAAAACCATTGAGGGGTTTTATTCTAAGAAGTTCTGTCTATCTGCTATGAGAAAAATAGATGAGAGGGGAAAGAGAATGGATGCAGTGTCCGTTTTGTCATGAGGCTGTTGCACTGGCCCAGTTCCAAGGGGACAGCATTTTACACTGGAATGGGGGCAAAAACAATGGAGAAAGGTAGGTGGACTCAAGGGCATTTTCAGAGACAGTGTTGACATAAATTGTTTACATTGTAAGTGGTGACATATAGGTTTTTAAAAGATCTATTTGGCACTACCATGCGTTTACATCATGGTATTTAAATGTTTTTCTATTCTTGAGCAGACAATTTTCTGATGGCATGTTTCTCTTAATGTATTGTGTCAATTATAAAACTTTTAGCTGCCAGTAAGATAATACCGGTTAATAAATAGTAGTAAAAGTATTAAATTAACTTACATAAGCAGTCTAGAGGTAGATTGTTATGGAATTGATACAGTACGTCAATTGTGTCCTCAGAAATCCAGCTCTCAATGTCTTTCTGCTCTGTGATCATTTGCATGTGATTTGCATCCTTATTCTTTTCTCTAGTCACGCCATTACCCAATTATACTCATTTTGAAAAAGAATATCCTATTCTGTTATTGATGATGGAAAATTTTTCCCAGAAGACCCATGGCAAATTTCTCCATATATATCTCATTTGCCATAGCATTTATAGCTGCAATGGAAGCTAGTAAAGTGTCTACCAAATGGAAATATTTGCCATGTTTGGCTTAGACAAATTATGTTTTATCTCCTGTAACTGAGAACATTGTTGTCTACACAAAATCAAGATTCTGTTTGTAATGGAAAGAAGTAGGCAACTAAGCACATCTGCCACAAATTATTGTTTGAAATATATTAACTATTCAAGGATTCAGAAATCAAATTTGGTGCCTTTTTAATCTTCTTAGATGTGCCTGTTGCTTCAGTACCTCTGTGATTGCCAAGTCCGGCACCGGATAGAAGCCATTGTCGCCTTTTCAGATGACTTTGTAGCTAAGCTTCAAGACAATCAACGCTTCAGATATAATGAAGTTATGCAAGCCTTAAACATGTCAGCCGCACTCACAGCGAGGAAAACCAAGGAATTTAGATCACCACCTCAGGAGCAGGTACAAGAATAAAATGAAAATTCTTCCTTTTAGCTATGGTCTTTATTTCATTCAAGATTCATGTATTACAAAAATTATATCACATGTAGCATGTATTTTCCTGTTCTGCCTAAACTGTTGTTGTTATTTGCTGTCAAGTCGGACCCAATTCATAACGATCCCTCCTTGGGTTTCTGAGACAGTATCACAATGGAAGTAAATTGCCCAACCTTCAATTTAGTGGCTGGTGGGTTGGAACCACCAGCCTTCTGGTTAGTAATCAAGTGTGTTAGGCACTACGCTACCAGAGCTAGCCAAGTTGATTTAGTCACTATTCATAGTTTCATCAAAAAAATTCACTTGGCTAGTTTACCTGGAGGAAGATTTATTGAAAGATAATTGGTTATATTTCGGACCTTTTGGGTAGATTAATGTGCCAGTTCTGAAGTTCTGAAGATAGGAAAAAATATCCAACACAATATGGCGTCTTCTCTAGCAATCACAGCACTGCCACCAGTTTTAGAAACTCTTGGTTCCTGGGACTAGAGGCTAGATGCTTTCTATTTTCTCCTCAGAAGAACCATATGCTTCTGCTACCTGGCTTGCCAGAGATTGACCACCCTGTCTGTGGCTTTTCTTCCTGTTACTCACCTATAAATACAGGTCTCCCTAGAGTGCAGCAGAACCTATTTCACATGCCTGAAGCATAATATAAGCTACTCTGGGGATGTGAGTTTCCTGAATCACTAACACATTGCTGGTTTAAATATAAATAGTACAGGCACTCTGGAAAACAGTGGTATTTCTTAAAAAAAAAAGAAAGAAAGAAAGAAAGAAACTAAACATGCAACTACATATAACACAGCAATTGTACTCCTGGGCATTTATCACAGAAAAATGAAAACTAATGTCCACAGAAACTCTATACAAAAATGTCCATAGAAACTTTATTTGTAAAAGCAAAATATTTTCAATTGGTGAATGTTGAACAAGCTGTGATATTTCCATAGAATACAAAGCAATGAATTATCGATACATACAACCACCTGGATAATATCCAGAAAATTATGCTATGTGAAAGAAGCCAAACCCAAAAAGTGATTCCACTTTTATAAGATTCTTGAAATGAAAAAATTATGGAAAGAGAGAACAGACTAGTGGTTGTCAGGAGTTAAGGGGTATGTAAGAAAGAAGTGGATGTGGCTATAAATGGGATCCTGTTCGTGATGGAATTGTTTTAGGTTTGACTGTATCAATGTCAATATCCTTTCATATTGTTTTAAAGATGTATAAGATGTTACCAACAGGGAAATAGATAAACGGTATATCCCAAAAACCAAACCCAATGCTGTTCATTTGAATCCAAAAGGAAAATGGCCCTATCCAGTTTCCAAGGCTATAAATCTTCATGGAAGCAGATTGCCTTTTCTTTCTCCCATGGTGCGGCTGGTGGGTATGAACCACCAACCTTTCAGTTGTGAACCAAATGCTTTAACCTGCACCATCAGGGCTCCTTAAAGTGTATCTAGGACCTCTTTTATTTTTCACTATAACATGTTGTTGTTGTTGTTAAGTGCCGTCGAGTCGTTTCCGACTCATAGTGACCCCATGCACAGCAGAACGAAATACTGCCCGATCCCGCGCCAGCCCCACAATCCCTGCTATACTTGAGCCCATCATTGCAGCCACCATGTCAGTCCATCTCGTTGAAGGCCTCCCTCT